TTTTAGTTTTACTTCATCAATTATTTGATTAAGTTGAACGATTTCTTCTTTAATCTGTTGATTTTCCTCGGTAATTGTTGAAATATTGATTTTTAACTGATCAACTTCATTTTGTTTTTGTTCAAATGATTTTGTCAATTGTTGATATTTATCATTTATTAATCCGTTATTTTCTTTTAATTGTTCTACAGTATTATTAAGTTGAATTATCTCATTCTGTTTTTCTTCAAGTTCTTTTTCAATCTGTTCATATTTCGATCTCATTTGTTTCATAGTATCTTCTAATTCTTTAATAATAACTTGATAATGATTAATTTCATTTTGTTTTTCTTGAATATCATCTTGTAATTGTTTGGTTTTTTCATGAAATGTAGTTAATTGTTCTTTTAAAATATTATTTTCATTCAACAGTTGCTTTTGAGATTGATCAAGATTTTCTAATCGTTGAATTTCTTCTTGTTGTTGAGCAGTTTGTGAATTTAATCGATTTATTTTATCATCTGCTCTCATAACTTCAGCTTTGAGTTCATTTTCAAGAGATGATAATTGTCCTTGATACTTATTATTAAATTGTGTATGTAAAACTTCGAGCGTTTTTTCATGTTCATCTTTTAATAACTGAATCGATGAATTTTTTAATTTTTCTATTTCTTCAATTTGAGATTTAAGATACGTATTTTCATCTTGTATTTCTTTTAAAACTATATCAAATTCATCTGAATGTTCTTGTCGTTGATTTTCAAGTGTTTGAGATAATTGAATATCATTTTGTTTTAATTGTTGAATTCTTTCTAATAAATCTATTGATGGGTTTTCAGGAACAATATTTTCAATATTTTTTATCATATCACGTAAATTATCTAATTCTTCATTTAAATGTGAAATATTCATATTTTGATTTGATATAATAAGATTTAAATCTGAAGATTGAATTTGTTGATTTAATTCTTCATTTAATTTTTCAAGTTTTATCTTATCATTTGTTAATTGTTCAATAGAATTTGATAAATCATCATATTTTTCTTTTAAATCTTTATCAATTTTTGCTTGTTGTTTTGTTACTTCAAGTTCATTTTCCATTTGTCTCATACAAAGACGTACTGCTTCTAATTCTTCTTGTAAACGTTGTTTATCTTGTAATAAAACACTTATATCTGAGTCAAAATGTTCTTGAACTTCCAGTGATGCTATTGAGGCGTCATCTGGATGACGATCCTATATGATTTCAAAAATAAACGTTTAGATTTTGTGTTTTAAATTTAACTTAAATTAATTCTATGTAAATTATATATATATAAAGGTTTTCTAAAGCTAGATTATGTAAGTTAATACATGAACAAAACACATACAGGACAAAAAGTAACATGCGAAATGCGTATAAAAAAGTCTAAGTTTCTTTAATAAAATATTTTTGTTGATTAATTGAATACACTCACCAAAATATTCCTTACAAAATGCTTCAAACTGAAATGATCTTCATCCTTTGAATTTGCCTATAAAATATATATATGGAGAATATATATCTCCTTATCTTTTTTCTGTCGTACATATATATATTCTTATCTTTTTATGTGTCTTTTTTTATATTTAGATAAAAGTGAGTCTTAAAAAAGAAAGAAATTTACTTTCATCATTGATTCAATAACAGCTTGTTTCTCATTTAATTGTTGAAGAAAATCATCACGTTGTTTTGTTAATTCATTTTGTTTTTCTTGATGAATTTTTAGACCATCTTTACATCGAGTAAGTAATGCTTCGAGTTTAGAATTCTAAAATTAATAACATTGTCTTACTGTTTACAAATCTTCAGATACTCCTGTCTCGGTCAAGTTAAGTGTGTTCCAAATTCGCAGATTATGGATATCTAAGTTTTCACGGAAAACTGTAATCATCTGTTTTTGATTGCTCTAATAGATACTCTGAACTGTACTGAGTCGACTGGTGATACTCAAGAAAAAAAAAGCACATAGTTACAAGCTACACTTTGTCGAAAAACTTGAAACTCGTAACTTAACAAGTAACGCTCGTCCCAGGACTCACTTAGCTCTTTCTCGTAGAAATGCTTCCTTTCCACATCTACTAGAAAAACAATTGAAAACCGTGAAAAATCGATTTTCGATGTTTTTTTTACCTTTGTACCTTCACCATGGACATTCAACAGACCTCAGATTCGAACTCTCCGCAGCGAAATACCTCAAGAAATGTCTTTTTCGAAAAGTCAGTTTTCGATGTTTTTTTGACCCTGTGGACACACAAGCAAGCAGACAATTTATTCTTACTGGACTCTTCTCTATGAGAAAAAGAACTTGAGCTTAGAAAAACTAATTTTGACTATATTATTAGTTGTATGATTACTTTTTCGCGAAGACTTTGAATTTCTTCATGATCTGTTTGATGAGGTAATTGAATAAGATCTTTTTGTGCATCAACCTATAAAAACCCAAATAATTTTTAATATAATGAATAGTAATTGTTAAACTTGTAATGTAAGTTCTTCGATTCTATTTTCTCTCTGGCGCATTTCTTTTCTATGTAAACACTCCAATTGTTCTTTTGCTTGTTTATCCAATTTAATCTGTTCACGTAATTCAGATATTCGTGTTAATGATGTATCTTGATGTTGTTGTAGAATATTCTATAAATAATAAATCAATTATTGAATAGGAAAATATTTTTTTTATTTTAATAAACCTTAATATGGTCTTTTTCTCGTTCAACTTCATCATAAGCATTTTTTAATTGATTAAATTTATTCTTATAAACAGCAAGTAGTTTTTGTAATTTTAACAATCTCTAGAAAGAATAAATCTTATTTATTTTTATTTTTGGAAAATATTTCAATAAACTTACAGTATTGCCCTCATGATCACTTTCTTCACCACCATATTCAGATTCAATATCCGATGGCGGTCTATAAGTACGTGGTGGTGATACATAATTTGGACTATGACCAACACTAAATTGACTTATATCACTTGAAGCTGAATCTAATCGAGAACGATTAGTTTCCTTCAAAAACAAAAATACAAATTTAAGGTATGACTTTAATTAAAACTATAATTACATGATTATCATCACGACTAGTAACAGAAGATGTTCGAGTACCAGAATCTTTTGATTTAGATGTCTAATTTAAAATGAAAAAGACTATTCGAATTTAGAATTATTACAACAAAACATACTGATTCCGGTGATGGAATGCTCGATAAAAAAGGTTGATTAGTTTTTGTAACTTGAGTTGCTAGTTTTTCTTTCAAGTTTTTAAACATATTGAGATTAATTGATTTATATTCAAGCAAAAACAACAATAAGAGTCGTGGAGCGTGTGACTTTCTTCTTTTGATAATGACAATATGCTGGTTATTCTTTTTGTCAATCAATTTCTTGTTGGTTATCTTTAAAACCAATCTGATTGCTCGAGCTAATAATATCGCTAGTCGTACGTATATAAAAGTAAAACATGATATTACGTTTGAATCGATTTCATTTCGTTTTGAATGTAAATATATTCGAATAAAATTTGTTTTTTGTTTTTCTCGATAAAAATATCATGCAGAACAACATAAAAATGACAAGGATATATAAATTAATGTAAAATTTTCATTATTTATGCAAATATATTCGCATTAAAAATGATGTAAATTACAATTTTGTTCGAGAAATTTATATAGAAAAAAAGCTATTAATGCAATGTCTCGTAGGATTAAAATCTGAAACATGATCTTCCTGTTTTATATAACGATTTCCATCTTGTCCTGTGTGGCATGAACGTATAGAAATAAATAATTTATTTATTATATTTTAACAGCTGTTACAAGATTCAAAACAAAAATTACTTCATTTTTTTGATATTCGAAAAGCGTAATATATTGACATATGGTTTAAACTTTCTCTGTGTATGTTAGCGCTGATGGTATTACGCGAGTTGTCGTTCCAAACTGTCAGAATTAGCCAAAAACAAGAAAGGATTAATCGAAAAGAAATTACTGGCATATTCATCATAAACAGTATGCTATGTCGATCAGAGTCTATGATAAAGTCAAAAGAACATCTGTAAGGAACAGGGGTAGTGAGTACAAGTTTCTACCCTTTGACACTTTTTTGGATCG